CCCAACTCATAACTCACTACACCACCAGGACTCCTTTCTAATGGGAGAGGCGGACATTAGATAAGGGAGTATCCTCATTCTTGGTAATAATAAGGGTGTTCTCATTCACTCATTGCCCTGGAGTACGTTCAGACCCAGAGGTGGTAAGGGTTAGAAACAAAAAACAAACAGCAGTACGACGGCACTGGCTTGGAAAAGGGGTGAGAGAATATTGGTGGTGGAGAGGGGAATTCTTGACGAAATACCAGAGACTCCCTTTTCTTCACCAGATCTATATATTAATTGGCTTTATTTTTATAAGCCAGGGAGTAAAGGATGATCTTAAAACACTAAGTAGTAGACATCATTGAAGATTCTTTTATCAACAATGTTCCTGTTGTTTTTAATAAAGGTTTCCTTATAAATAACAATTCACAATGCTTGCACTGTTTGCTTAGCGTACTGCTTCTGCCGCCTTTTCCTTTTTGTTTCAAGAGTCCGTCCAGTGAAGCCCCCTCTCTCCTCACTACAGATGTACACTCAGATGTACCCAGCCTGGGAGGAAAAGCTGGTCCACAGACCAGCAATGACAACTCATTTGGATTTTCTTTCCTCATTTGGGATTTTGAGAAAGAGTTGCCTTAGTCTTTAGAAATAATATGAAGTATTATAAGAAATATGACCAGAAATGTTACAAAGCATACTTCATTTTTCATGACAGCAAGAAAATTATAATATTTCTATGAAACAATTCATGGTTTCCTCTCTTCCCTTATAATTTATGTAACATTATCTCCATAAGGGAATCACTCAAGTTTTACAGTACCATAGTCTAAGGATAGTATGATATTTTCTCAAAGGATATTATGATAGTCTCTTTTATCCAGATGAGGACGGGCTGTCCAATGCTTAAGGCTTTGAGACTGGAGAGGGTGGATCACATACATTTTCTGGCAGAAATGAAGCTGGTGGTTTATAAAGGGAGACCAAGACAGTTCTCTCTCAGGACCGCCATTTCAACTGAGGCTTGGAGACGATGGAACATGTCAAGCCAAAAAATGAAATGCTGAGACAAAGAGAGGTGGAGTGTTTCTGACAGCAAGTACAGAGAAAGTGCTCAAATGTCTAAAAATGAGGAAGGTCTTCACAGTGGCTAGAGACCACAGAAGAATGGAGAATGTGGAAGGGAGTGTGGTTTTATAGAAAAGATCACAGTCTAGATTACATACTTGGAAAACAGTGATCCAAACAGTTGGTCAGCTTAACAATTGCAAGCCTCAGATGGTCCATAGTAGGTCTCAAGGAATTCAGAGGCTCGCAATGCTCAGCCACTATTAGTTCTTAGAATTTTGTATGCTCCATTTTGTAATCCTCTGAAGTCATTTAACCACTTCTCCTTTCTCCCTCTCACGGGTACATCCCACTGAGAGTCAAGACATGTCAAAAAGAAGCACACTAATCTGGTCTGTGATTTGATTTATGAGAAAATATTAGGTGAAGTAAGTAATGGACAAAATTGCTCATGCAGTGTCATATCAGGTATGAATAAGGGCAAAACTGAGCTAGGAAGAATATATAAAAAGAAATATACTACTCTGCTGACAGTAGTGGTGGGGCATGGTCTCATTCAATGGTTTGTTTTGTTTTTTCCTTTTTTTTTAACCTTTTCCATTTTTGAGACTGTCTACAGGAAGAAGGACTTTCTATTACGGGAATAAAATCTTAGCTAAAAATTGTCTAAAGAGCTTTTTGACAAAGGACATGCCCTTATCCCTACTTCAATTTTGCTTGCCATCAAGTGAGTTGCGGTTCATAAAAATTCTTTTTTTTTTCTTTCAATAACAATTCTAAAGGACAGAGTAGAATTGTCCCTTAAGATTTCCAATGCTGTAAATCCTTAAATGAAAGCAGACTGCCAGTGCTTCCTCCCACAGAGCCGCGAGTGGGTTTGAACCTCGAACTTTCTGTTAATAACTGAGCACTTTACAAACTAACCCACCATAGCTCTTGATACATGATGCTAAATTCAAGACTCCGAAGTTGAAATGTATTTGTGAAATGTGAACACCTTCTCTGATCTAATGAAGCCATTTTGATCAAATGCTGCTGTGGGGCATCATCCAGTTATACCATGCACGATAGAACAAACACGGGGAGGCCATGTGCTGTAGGACGAAACACTGTCCCGTTTCGACCAGCCTCACAATCATTGCTGTGTTTGTGCCCATTGCTGCAGACACTGCGTCAATCCATTCTGGGGAGGGTCTTCCTCTTTTCCGCTGACCCTCTACTTTACCAAGCATGATGTCTTTCTCTAGCAACTAGCCCTTCTATGTGAACTAAAGTAAATGTCACTGTTGTGACAAGCTATTGAGTTGGCTCCAACTCATAATGACCCTATCTACAGCAAAACGACACAACGTCCAGTCTTGCACCATTCTCACAATCGTGACTGGCTCAAGCTCATTATTGCAGCCACTGTGTCCATCCCATCTCAGGGAACATCTCTCTTTTTCACTGAGTACCATTAAGTGTCCTAGATGCGCTACTCTTTGCAATGTTATTCATCATTTGGGATGATCCACACAGTTGAATGCCTTTGCATACTCAATAAAACACAAGTAAAAGTTGTTTTGACAACTTCTAAGTGTCTTTGATTCATACTTTGTACTCACCATGTTCTGATTATTAGAGGATGTTTGCAGTAGTTTCTTTTGAGTCTCACCTTAACAGCAAATGAAGTCCTGGACTCTTCACTCCATTCATAAAAGTAGACTGAAGTTTACTTTTCTTTGAGGAGGCAGCTCTTCCCCAACTGTATCTAACTGCTGTGATAGTTAAATAATTTCATGCCAACTTGATAAATAAAAGTGTAGGGGTGGAGTCTAGCCTGTCAATCAGGTCACAGCCAGATGGTGCCTCCTTATGGGCATTGTCTTCTCATAAGGAGGGTTCTAGGAATATCTCCACCCCCTGTGCTGTTACCTTATTGTTGGTGAGCCATGCTCAGACCTACCAGAGCCCTGTGAAGTTTCCACTGCCATTGAATCCACAAGACTTTTCCCCCACCAGCCTGTGCTCTTCCTGCATTTTGCACCATTGCATGTAACTATATGAGGATGACTGTGTGAAGAGGAACTTATGGACTAGTACTGGACTTACGGACTTGATCGCAATTGGGCTTGGATGCTTTCTTAATATATACAATTACTCCTTTGATATAAAGCTCCTTCTTATACATATATGAGTGTCTCTGGATTTGTTTCTCTAGTCAACCCGGCCCAACATGTGCCTACAACCTAAGGGAGCCTCTTCCAGCACGATATCAACCAGTGTTCTGCCGCTATTCATCAAGTTGCCGTTGGCTGTTACCTCAGAAGTGAACTGCTTTGTCCTGCTTCACAGTCTGTTCTTACTATGGAAGCTCCGATGAAGCTTGTTTATCCTGCTCCTCTTTGAAATACCGATGGCACAGTTTCCAGAATCGCAAGAAAATGCAAGCCATCATAGTCCAACAGACTGAAGATAAATGGTGTATCATAAACAACTAGCCTTGCCAAAAAGTAGAAATATAACCAAGATATTTATATATGATTTCTGTCTTCATC